AAGAAATTTAAGTGTCTTTTTATGATTCCTGTCTTCACCTGACTTTTCTGTTAATTGATCAACTAACAGCTCTAATTATGAGTTTCTACTGTTACTGTCCCTATTCTTATAGATGAGGAAATTGAGACTTAAAGAAACTAATTTGCTCGAGATTTGAATGCAGGTCTTTCTGACTCCAAAGTCTGTACATGTTCTAAATCACTATACCAGCTACAGTGCCTGACTATTTTAGCCATTCAGTATTTTTTGAAGAGATAGAAAGATGAGTAAGAACTGGCCCCTGCCCTTAGGAAATTCGTGGTCTTGCAGGAGAGGGAGGCACGTAAATAATTCATTTTATTACATATAGTAAGTAAAATTATAGGAGTTCACTGACAGAGATAGAAGAGGGAATGGTGAACTCTCTAAGGTGTCAAGAAAGGTTTCGCATAGGAGGTGCAAACCTAGATTTAAAACTTTTTTAATGAATAGGCATATACCAGGTAGAGCGGGCTCTAAGCAGAGGGGATAGCATATACAAAGTTAAAGAGAGGATGGTAAGATACGCTCAGAGAAATACAGAGGTTCTGTGTCTGAAGGGTGAGGTGGTAGGAGAGAGTTCTCAAGGGTCAGCTCGTAAAGGTCAAGTCAAGGAGTTTGAACCTGATCGTCTAGAAGTTTGGGGGAGCCATTGAAAACCTTTAATCAGGACAGTGCATGGCTCTGTTTGCACTTTAGATTACTCTGGTGGAAGGGGCCGGGGTGCAGACAAGGTTGGAAGATGAACTGAACTGCGTTAATCCAGGTGAAAAATCGCAGCTCTCAATTGCGACAGCAGCAGGTAGAATGAATTCATTAAGGATTTTAGGAAAAACTGATAGGACTTTATAACTAGATATGGAGTGTGGAGGCCAGCCATGGGTCTGGGTGGATGCTGGTGCAGTCACCACAGTGGAAAATACCAGTGAAGAAGGAAACAGTGATCTCAGCTTTGGACGCAAGTTTAAGTTTTCTGCAGGACCTTCGAGAGGAAATGTTCAACACAACTAGATAATTGGCCTGGAGCTTAAGGGAGAAGTTGGGGGTGGAGACAGATGCCCCGCCTTATACAGGTGGGGCATGAGAGGCAGAAGCAGCGAGGGGAGCAAAGGGCTGATGACAGAAGCCTGAAGAAGGGGTCCACCGAGAAGACGACTAAGAAGGAACTTCTAAAGGGGAGAGAGAAAATCCCGGCCAGAGTGTGGTATCAGAGGTGGTAGTAAAGAATTCCAAGCAGATTTGCCAATGGTCAGTCCTACCTTGTGCCCCAGAAGGACCAAGTCAAGGGAGAGCTGAGCAGTGTCCGCCGCTGTGACCTTGGATGTTTGGGTGGAACCAAGCCCAGATCGTGGTGGGCCGAAGTGCCAGCAAGTTAGGAAACCAAGCAGAATACAGAACACCGGGAAACTGTCACACATTTGAAGAGGGGAAGGAAGAGGAGGCGGTTTGAAACTAGGGTGAAAGTGTGGCTATTTAATAGGGTAGGAGGCACCTGAGCTGTTTTATGGGCCAAGGAAGCCATGAAGGGGCAACTGTATCTCAGGGGTTCACCTGTACCCGAAGCCCAGGTAAAGTGAACTTCCTATTCTCCTTTCTTCTTTTCTTTGGGGCCTATTCTGAGCCCTCCCTTCCTTTTTTTTTAAAATCAGAGTTCGTTGTCAGCTACTCCCTAATAGGGAATTTAAGAAGTAGCTCTTCCCAAGGGAGTATTCGGAAACAGCAAATGGCCCAGGAATCCCATCTGTTGCTCCTTCTCTGCTGCCACCAACCTCTAGTCCCCACCTCCTACTCTACCCCTCTTCCCATGCTCTGGCCTTTGCTTCTGCCCACAGGAATCTAGTTGAGGCTTTTCCCCACAGACAGGAGGAGTTACCACACACGTGGAAAAGCTATTAGCCTTGGTTAACTAACTGTCAGCTCCTGGTACAGCCAGGCTGGTGGGAAGTACAACTTGGTGGGCCAAGTTGTAACCAGGCCCGCTTGAGGACGCCGTTTCTTCCGCTGTTCTATGAGGGATTGACTGAGCTCACTGTGATCCCTTCCTGTGATGTCACTGCTTGGTGTTCCATACATAGAGAAACGAGGCTTAGCCCCAGGGCTTCCTTACACCTTGGCAAGTCCCACACCTGTGGGGTATCGATCACTTTGACCTGAATTATAGGAGCTCAGGTAGAAAAAGGGGCAAAATCCTGATCAGCTTCCTGCTGACCCCTTCGGGGTTTTCTTTTCCATCCTGCAGTCACTCACTGTCCTACATATTCTGCCTTCTGAAAGCTTGCGAATGGCAAGCTAATAGAAAGAGCACTGAGCCACAAGTAAGAAGGCAGCCATAGAATGCACCCATTTCCTAGCCATACAGTCTTGGCTAGGTTAGTTGATTCCTCTGAGCCTCAGTTTTCTCACCTGTAAAATGGTATTAGTAATACCTATCACATAGTGATGTGAGTTATTCTATAACAGTGCATATGTGAAAATGCCTTGCACAGAACCTGACATGTAAAAGGTACCCGTTTAAATATTTCTTGGGCCTGAATGCTTAGGAATCCATGATACTTGCAATTTATATAATTTTATGGAATTAATATTTGAGCATGTCAAACCTGAAAAAAATACATCACTTTTCATTAATCTTCTAGGAACTTAAGAAAGGATTTTTTTTCTTTAGTACATCCTTGTGTTGCTTTGTCCAGCACTGGCCTTCTCCCTCCATCTGAATCAGGAACTCTATTTTTACATTCCTTTCAACTGATAAAATTGCAATGCACTGCAGTGGTTCCCAAGGTAATAGAATAACTGTCTCTCTCACTGGCTCTATTTTTTTCTTTCTTCTTTTTTTCCTTTCCCCTTGATAACAGAAAGCTGCTTTTTTTTCCCTCCAGAAAAGAAGCGACATCACCCTGTCAATGTTAAATTCTGGCAGAAATGGAGCCACTAAAATAGAAAGAAAAAAAAAATTGGCAACAGCCAAGAATGAGAACTTGCATAGCATTTACTTAGTTGTATGTATTTCAGGAATACAGCGTCCTCTGTATTATTGCCAATGATTGTCTCTGTGATCAATGCTTATTCCTAAAATAATTCTCTTTTCAGTGCACGTAGCAGATTGATTGCATTGATGGCCCCCGTTCTCTACCTCTCCTTTTGCCTTGCCACTTTGCTGTTCCCTTCACTAAAGAGATGGAGTCCATTAACCCATCTCTTGCTTTTGGACTTGGCCATGTGCCTTGCTTTCATCTGAGGGATGCTTGTAGAAGGCATGCAGTCATGGTGCAAGTAGAAGCTTTAAAAAGTACTGATGTGTTTCCCCTAGTCCTTTTGGACCCCTGACATCACTGTGAAAATGTGCCCAGGCTAGCCTTTTCGAGGGCTGTGAGAGGGATCCAAGCTAAGGCCATCCTAGACCATCCAGCTCCCATCAGCTGACCCCATAGGCTTGTGAACAAAAATACACCTTTACTGCTGTATGCCACCAAAGTTTTCTATTTGTTATACAGCAATAACTAACTGATACAGTAAGTTTTGGTGCCTGGGGGGTGACCCATGCCTTCTCCAACTGCAATGGTGAAAAAAATTCTTGTACTTCAAGCCCCACTGATATTATGGTTAACGGCCTGGAGAGGTAGTTTGAAATTGCCATTCTAGGTAAACTGCCCTTTAATTGTTCCCTAAATACAGCCTGTACATCCCTGCCTCGGTACCTTTATACATTTCATTTCTCCCTAATGGAATGTCCTTTCTTCTCTCTTCTCTGCCTATTAGAATCATACCAGATCTCCAAGGACCTAAAGAAAACCAGCCTTTTCTGAATGCACCTTCTTCTCCCTTCACACCAGCCTCAAACTTTACTCCAAAAGGAGGGCACAGCTGGTGTGTCATTATCCATGCTGGACTGTTTCTCCCCAACGGCACCTCGGTCCCCCTTCCTCCCTGGTTGTCTCATGTGGCCCAGCCAATCTTGACCCTCCCTCCCACCCACTCACTTCCCCCCACTCCCTTTAGGTGCCCCACTGATGTGCTTCCAAAATTACCTTGTGGTTATCTGAGTAAACGGAAGTTTCCTGAGAACAAAGGCTTCGTATGTGCAGCACTTACAGTAGCACCCAGAAGATTAAAAAAAATTGTTGGAAAGGTGGATGGAACAGGGATATGCTGTAACTGTGGCCTGAAGCAGACTAGGCTGTTACTGACCCATCTAAATGGAGGCTCGGCCTGGGGAACTAACGTCCTCAGTAAGCTCGTCCCGTGTATGTTCTTGTCTTCGCAGACTAGGATTAAGTTGGCCTGGGTTCAGCACCAGGCTAACTTAATCCTAGTCTGTGAAGTCACTCCCCCACCATCCTTTGTGCCCAGGCCCATGCTGGGTAGATGAAGATTCCCTTAAATGTCGCTGATATGCACTGAGCACTTTCTATGTACTAGATGTTGTTCTAAGTGCTTTCAGTGAATTAGTTCATTCAATTCTCACAGCAATCTTATGGGGCACATACTGTTAGTATCTCCGTCTTGTCGATGAGGGTTAGAAAAGATTAATTAACTGTTCTAAGATCAACTATTAAACATACAGTCTGTGCAGACCCAGGCACACCCACCTAGAGTGTGTTATCGTCACCGTCACCGCATGTCTCCCCAGGTTCATGTCTTCTAAGGGCGCTTCTCTCGTTTCTCAGTCCTTTCCTCTGCCAAGATGGGAGGCGAGGTAAGGGCTAAGAAGAGAAAATTGCTGCTTGATTATTTATTCTGTTTACTTAAATTCCCTTATCATTACCTAATGATATGTATTTAACCAGGAGGAGGCTCATCTTTTCTTATTTTTATCTATCTATGTTTACCTGCCCATGAAGATAACTTCATAAGTAGGTAAATTTGAATGATTAGCAAAGAGCCATATAAAGCAAACTGTATTGCTCTTTGTAAGCCGTCTCTGTTTCTCAGTGGGCTGGAAACCGCACCATTGCTTCCTCTTTATCTTTGTAGCGAGAGCGCAACATTTGTCACTCGGCGTCTGAGCAACTTCAGTGACACCGCCAGGAAAGGTCTCTGCTGGTCCAAATGGCACGCTTCCCACGAGTAGCATCTTTTTTTCTCTTTCTGAGTAAGTGTCATAATTCTGTAGGTTACTGTTGTCAAGGAGCTAGTCAAATGGAGACTGTTGGATGATAAAATGGGACAATTTGGTCTCTACAGGAAAAACCATGCCACACATCTCTGGTGTTGGCAGTCATTTTTGACTTTTGATGATGTTCTTGGCTACCTAGACATCCTTGAGTTCCAGGAGGTGCAATGTTAGGTTGAGTCCCATGAATCTGATCCCACTGGTTTTTACATTTGTGTGTGTGGCCAGAGCTGCTGATTTTGCTGGCCCTGCCTCCACCTTATGTTCTTGGGCTGACTCATCCCTGGAGATAGGAAGAGGCTTAACTCCTCAGACTGAGAGGTGATGCCTGATGTTAGAACTTGTCTAGATAAATGTGCCTTGGGGATGTGGCCGGATGGAAGGAAGTGTCATGAGAGCACTTAGGAGTTTTAGGCTAACCTAAAAGAAGGTTCTGGACTTCATCTGTGAGATGAAGTGGGAATTGACTACTAAGAGCCTGAGAAAGGGGCAGGAAGATTCACTTGGCTCTGCTGAGGGGCAAGTGGAAGGACCTCAGTTGGCCCAGGGGCATTTGTACATGGTTGAACAGGATGGCGAAAGGGGAAGTTTTGGGGGGAGATGGGTGAACAGATGAACTGGGGAAGGAATGAAATAGTCTCAGAGCAGACAGAGCAGGTAGCAGCTACTTTTTAGTGCTATGGGTTCTCTTAGCATCTGGTGAAGCCCACAGACCCCAACTTAGAATAATTTTTAAATGTGTGAATTAAAATGTATACGATTATAGGGAAAATCAATCATATTGAAATAGGGTTATTGAAATACTTTAAAGTAAACTTTGATGTAGTCATTTATTTGCTTCATTATTTATGTATTACGTAATAAGATCTGGAGGTGGTCTATTAACCGCCAAACTTCAAAGTCATAATGAGTACGAACAATATTTCAAGATATCTGCAATAGATGTAGTGTGATGTGAAAATATCTATGATTTGTTGTCTACATTCATGACTGAAGAAAATGCTAAATTTCCATTAAGATTAGTGAAAATAAAGATGTAGGTTTTTTTTCCCACCCAAGTTTATGAATCTTTTCATCCCCCATGTGGACCCAAGTTAAAAACTTCTGCTTTAAAGAGACTGGATGGAGTTAGTGAAGGGACTTGGACAGTAGGGGAACTAAAAGAGCTTAGAATCAGTGTGACCAAGGCTGTGGCTAATACACGAAAAGGGTGCAGCGTTCAGCTCAACGGGGTGCTTAATAAACCTTGGCTTGAGTTGAATGGGGTTCATGTCTCAAAAGACATTGGGTAGTGTAAGGTAAAGATCAGATATGGGACCTGCTGGGGTGAGAGGTGTCCTGCAGGAGGTTACTGGGACCAGTTGCTGGGTAATCAGTGCCCACTAGACTGGCTTGGCAGACGTTAATGACTAGGTTCACTGGTGGGGCCCTTTGGGGACTGTTGGCTGGTGTCCTGTTCAGGTGTCTGAGTGTGATTCTCAAGTGTCTGTGCTTTGTGTCTGTGAACCGCGTGTTTGGCTTGTGTATGGGGAAACTGGGCTTACATTGTGCAATAAGTCAGACAACTGCAAATTCTCTCTTTGTCTTTTTTTTTTTCCCTAGTGAGTAAGATGAAAGGCCTGGGAAAAGGAAAGTAATAACCAAGTTTCAAAAGGGGAAGCTTCAAGCCTTTCCCTACCCCATTTAAACCATTACCTAAACTGGGTTATATAATTATTTCTTCTAAATTTAAACTCTTCCTAAGCACAAATTTTGTGTAGAGCCACAGTTTTTATGTGAAAAACATATATATCAGGAGGTAACTTGAAAAAAATTTTGGAAGCCTGCTATCTGTCATTACAAGTACAGAGGGAAAAATGAAGGAAATTAATTAAATGATGGATGATCAACTGACCAATTGCATTGTTTAGCAAATGTATACCTTGTCCTAATTAATTTTTTAAATAAATATATAAAGACTGATGAATCCTATTAGAATATGGGGCCAGATGAGGTTAACGTCATGGGTAGATGAGCTCTTAGACTTAGCTTTGTCTGATTGGTCTGTCACCCCTCACCCTGAATAGCTGCCCTACAAATAAAAGTGATTAACATGGGAGGGTCCTGGGGAGGGGCTACTGTTTGTCTTACTGGGGCTGCATTCACGAAAAAAAAAATCCACTGAATTATGGATGGAAGCATTCTCAGCCTCCAAGCAAAAAGGGATTTTATATGGGTAAAGAAAGAGAAGTCACTTGTTGTGCGTGGTGTTCTCCAGCTAGGTTTTGTATAAGGTGGAAGCATTTGAAGTTGCTGTTTTTGCGTATCAAAAGTGGCCAGGTGTTGGCCACATTTTATATAGGTCAAATAGCTTCCATTCAAATAATCCTGAAATAGAAAATTTGGCAATCCCATTAATGTTTTTGGAAAAAGTCCACACCATTAGGGAATTCTTCGTGTTACAAAAATGTGACTCCAATGCAGTATGTCAGTGCCAAGCTCTGTGTCCATCAGTCAACAAGAATCTGACCTGCTGTGCAGAGGTGCCTAACCCTCTGTCTATTGAAAGAGAAAGCAACGGGTCAGTCCTCTGAGGTATTTCACTCTTTAGGAGGAGAGATATGTACAACATCCCACAGAAAACAGATGTATAATAAGATGCTTCAGTGTATGTATGATTCCCCATGCATGGCCATTTGAATTGGCCTCTGTCAGTCATTCCTTTTTATCTCCACAATACCTGTTAAACCTTCTCACTGTTTCTTCCGCTTTTCTGAGTACCCTCTCAATCATGTTCTTGACCTCGTGCCTCTACTAGCACCTTATGCCATTCATCATCCTCTCTCTGGCTTCATCCATGTCTCCCCTCTACAGCTCCTCTGCCCGTAGACATGTAGAGGTACCCGTGTCCATCCTCCCTCACTGCTCTGCCCACGTCCATCTACTCTTTCTAACTGCCACCCTATTCTATCTCTTTCCCTTCTCCATGACACTTCTTGAAGTAGTTTATGCTTCTTGCAGTTGCTTCTTACCCTTGAAATACTCTGCTTCTGCTCTATGGAAATCTCTTTTACAAAGATTTCCACTGACCTCCTCCTCATCAAACTACAAAGACTTTCGTCTGCCTTTAGAGTCCTTACCCTCTCAGCCGCATTCAGCAGTGCTGACAAGCTCTTTCTGCTTGGACCGTTTTGCTCCTTTGGTTTTCAAGCTACTGCGTCCTTGCTGCCCTGCCACCTGATTCTTCCCTCCCTGATTCTTCCTTCTGTAGGTTTTGTTCCTCACCCTATCCCCTAAAGAGAGAGATCCTCTAATAATCTCTCTTCAGCCCTCTCCTTACATTCCCGAACGCTTCCCAGTGCTTACATGTAACTGACATAATTTGCATCTACAGCCCAGAACTCTCCCTAGTTAACAGGCATTTACAGGAAGCAGTGAGGAAACAATGGACACAGCCAGGAATTCGACATGTGTAAATCCAAGTTCAGTTCTGGCTGTACCATTTACAACTTTGACATTGCTAAATATGGGAACATCTCAGAGTTCTTAAGAGGACTGGATTACAAATATTTTCAAAGGGTTGAGTAGATTTTAAAGTATAGCTAGATAGATATAGCTACAGATATAGACATATATTTAAATATTATTTCCAAATGTTTGCTGGATTTCCTTCCTGATTATTCCATGGTACTCTAATTTAGTATTTCCAAAATTAAATGCACCGTCTTCTCCTTCACCTTCGAAGGTACACAACAGTACCTTTTCCTGAAATCCTTATTCCTGTAAACAGTGCCATTACTCCCAGTCACCCTTACAAAACCTGGTATCATCTTTGATTTCCTCCTGCCTTCCATCCCTCCATCTACCCCATCTACCTCCAAGCATCTAAGACACTGAAAAACTCTATAGATCTTATCTCCACAGTGGCCCTTAAATTATAGCCACCTTCTTTCCATTTCTATTGCCTTTATCACTCCTCTTCTGGGCTACTATCATTACCTGATGTCTACTTCTAACTCCATCATCCTACACACTTCAGGTTAATTTTACTAAGACCTTTCAAATACTTTCAGTGGGTTCCCCATTGCCTAATCAATCAAGTCCAAACTTTTAAACATGATAGTCAAGCCCTTCATGCTTTGGACTCAAAATTCCTACCCACTCTTACCTCTTTCTATTAATCTTCATGTAACTCTCCCCCTAATCCAACTGATTACTCTCTATTTCCTGAACAATTCTTTTGATTACTACTTATACAGTCTTTTCATGAAATCTCCTTCACCTAAAAGGCCCTGTCTCTCCACTTAACTTGTCATAACCTTCTCCAAAGTCCATTTTTAATACTATATCTTCCATACACCTTACCTATTTCCATCCCCCAAAATGTAATGTCTCCTTCCTTCAAACTCCTCAAAGCGCTTTTATCATATTTCTTTCCAGGACAGATGACTACCACCCTACTTGACTAAACTGTAAAATCAAGAAGTCAGAGACTATCCCAAACTCATCTTCATATCTTAGTCCTTGAAGCATCAGAAACACTATAAGTGATTGAACAAATATTTATTGAATTAGTAGGCGAAGCAGTAGAAAATGAAGTGCTAGTTTTCAAAATAAAATGTTTCACATGTGGTACCATCTCTCCGAAAAGTCATAAAAAATGTTAAGTGTTGCCTAGACACCAAAAATAACATCGTGGAAACATGTCCTGACATAAACATCTTAGTGGTACCTCAGAAATCATATTTTTTAAAACATTTTTATCTTGAAATATAACATATAAGAAAAGTTAATAAAACATAAATGTGCAATTTAACTAATAAATAAAAAGTAAAAACCATGTAATCACTATGCAGGTCAAGAAATAGAACATTGCTAGGACCCTAGAAGCACCCACCCACCCTGCCACACGTCCCATCCAGACACACACACACACAATCACTTTGCTGACTTTCGTGATACCTACTTCCTAGCTTTTTTTTAAAATAGTTTTACCCGTTACGTTTGCATCACTAAACAATACAGTGTGGTTTTTTTGCCTTTCTTTAAATTTTATGGAGAGTATAGTCAAAAAGATTCTAAAGTGTTCAGCATCTTTCATTAAACACAGTGATCCACGTTTCTGCAACCAGTTGCAATTCACTCACTTTCATTTCTGTATAAGATTCCATTTTATGAATGTACCACAGTCTGCCTGTTCTACTGTTGATGGACATATGAATGGTCTCTAGCTTGGGGGCTGTAATGAACACTGCTGCTGTGGATACTTTTTCACGTGTAGCCTGGTGCAGTGCTCACGTTTCTCTAAGATGTATGTCTCTAAGACTGGCTAGCATTGCTGACAATGTTTTAAATTGCCTTTGTAGTACAATTTTTTGGTAAATAATATTTTAAAATTTTACTACTGTATGGCATGGGGAACTATATTCAATATATTGTAATAACCTATAATAGAAAAGGATCTGAAAAAGAATATATATATGTGTGTAACTGAATCACTTTGCTGTACACCAGAAACTAACACAATATTGTAAATCAACTATACTTCAATAAAAAGTCATCTGTTTTGAAAAAAATTTTTTAATTTTTTTCTCATATGGTCCACCTTCTATTCCTAAGTGCTCATTACAAAAAGAGCATAACATACATATATCACATTAACTGGGATTTATGAATAAATTAGTATATTTTAAATGATTACTGGAAATTTGTGTGATTGGTTGACTGATTGCATGTTTGTTTTCCAGTTTTGCATTGATTGTATCCATATGCAATTTTTAGTTGACTGTATCAGGTGATCTCTTACCCTTTCTCCCTATTTTTTTGCAGGTCTCCTCCTATCAGAATTGTCTTCATTCTAAAATTCCTATACTCAGCCTATACTCATGGTCTCTGTAATGTCATTTTCCCCTCTCTCACTTTTTTTTCACTCTGGTCTCCTTTACTCTTTGTCCTTGTGGATTCAAAAAATTCAGCAGATGCTCTGCTTCTTCCATGCCTACTTATGAACTCTATTCTGTTAATTCTGTAATACCAGCAATTGCTCCCTGTTGGACTCTTCTGATGTCTTTCCACTGGGCCCTAGGCCCCGAGTGAAAGATCTAGCTCACCCTGTGGCATCTCTGTCATTTGTTCTTTGTTCTTTCTGTTACACAAAATAAACTAGGCTTTAATAGTAACATAATAAATAAATACATACCTTTTAATTTCTAAAAAAGTCTTGATTTTGAAAAGGTGTATGCCAAAGGAAATGTTACCATTGAATAAGATTTTCTCCTTTAAACCTAATACTTAAGATTTGTCCCAACAGGAAACATTCCATAGTGGTCCCAACTGAAAACTTTGGGTAAGAGAACAACTGAACTAAATCTGATCCCAGATCCTGTTGGACTTGACAGTCACCTTGTATGAAGCTTTTCCATAAAGCTGTAGTGGCTCTTTAAAAAATTACAAAATGAAAAACCCTCCGCGGTATAGAAAGGAAGTGCTGCTGCTTCTTCAGATGCTAATTTTAGCTAGTCTTGCATCACACCTGGCCGGGAGCTACAGATATTTCCAACCAACCAGCAGGAAAAAGCATGGCACCAGGAGCAGTGCCATAAACTCTGCCTCTCCAGCAATCATTTCTGTGAGAAAAGCTCGATGACAGGTACCTAGGAATTGGAGGCTTGAGGAAGTATATCGAGGAATTTTCCCTTAAAATAATGTAAAAGGTGAATTATTATACATCGTATTTACTTCAGGTGCACTTAGATAAGCAGATACGTTTTATGAAAGCGGTCATGTTACATTGATGAAGCTAAACATTTTTTTTTTAAGAGACTAGAGATTACTATGGAAGTTAAACTTATAAAAGAACAATTAACTCGGGCTTCCCTGGTGGCGCAGCGGTTGAGAGTCTGCCTGCCGATGCAGGGGACACGGGTTCGTGCCCCGGTCCGGGAAGATCCCACATGCTGCGGAGCGGCTGGGCCCGTGAGCCACGGCCGCTGAGCCTGCGCGTCCGGAGCCTGTGCTCCGCAACGGGAGAGGCCACAACAGTGAGAGGCCCGCGTACCGCGGAAAAAAAAAAAAAAAAAAAAAAAGAACAATTAACTCATCAAGCCATTCCACTGCTCCTCATCCTGGAGAAGGTATTGAACATTTGAGTTGATTATAGCTAATAACCTGCGATCTCATTTTCTAGAATTGTAATACAGGGAGCTACGTAATGTGGCACATTGGGAACTGGAGCACTAATCTATTTTTATTCCCCTTTCTTTCTCCTACTTGCAAGCTAAGCTCAGCACTGCCCAGAGAGAAGTAACAGTTCAGAAAGGACCGCTGTTCAGAGCTGAAGGTTACCCCATCAGCATCGGCTGCAACGTAACTGGCCACCAGGGACCTTCTGAGCAGCATTTCCAGTGGTCTGTTTACCTGCCGACAGCCCCGACCCAAGAAATCCAGATCATTAGCACCAAGGATGCCACCTTCTCTTATGCAGTGTATGCACAGCGGGTGCAAAGTAGGGAAATCTACGTGGAGAAGGTCCAGGGTAACTCAGTCTTTTTGCACATCTCCAAGCTCCAGATGAAGGATTCCGGCGAGTATGAGTGTCACACACCCAACACTGATGGAAAATACTATGGGAGTTACAGTGCAAAGACGAATCTAATTGGTAAGCTGTGTGCCCTCCTCTTCTAGCCAGCCCCTGAGAAGCCAGATTCTCTCCATCAACACGATGCCTTGCAACGTGACATGACTTTATATTGTGCTGTTTGTTTTCGCAAAAGAGCCCACATACCCCTCTGGATATTTTGGAGTTTGTCACAAATAGGTATCTCATATTCCCTAAAGCTCTTAATCCATTTTCCCAATCGACTTTGTCATCAAGAGTTAGATAGTACGTGGTCTTCCTAGGCCTTGCCCACAGCTATTCATAGGTCGATAATAGCACAGCATTAGACAAAGCTTTGAGAGTTCTCATGTCTCTTCTCAGAGGCAGAATATTAACTTGATAGAGAGAAGAGAACATTTACCTCACTCTCTAGCACAGTGGTTAGCTCTGAGTAAATGCTCAATAAACACTCATTTTTGAATCTAAGTGTTGCTTTCACATAAACTTAGGCTGTGTGATTTCCTTTGAGGAAGGAAAGAATGGTAGGGTAGTAAGATGGTTTTCGAAACTTTGGTAAGGGCTGCATTTTGGCTCTGAATGATAAATTATAACAGATTATTTCAGAACTTTATTTTATAAAGGAGCAGGTGAAGGCCCAAGGAAGTGAAGTAACTTCCTCCAATTCATGGAGTCAAATAGGGACAAATATAGGATCAGAATATAGTCTTCTAGCTCCCAGTGCTTTTCCCATTTAAAACCTCTGTGTCTGAATAGCTAAATTGGTTACAGCCTATGCTAAAAATGTAAAATCAGGGTCAGTACAACAGTGAACCAATAGCTTTGCCGAGTTCCATAGTCTGTATGTATATAGATGCCAGTGTTCCTGTTGGCAATAGGGAAAGCATATGGCTGGTGGAAAACCAACTCAAAGTATGTACTGTACAGATGTTGGGCCAGGGCACCATCTTCATCTAGGAGGCTAGTCTGACAGGTACTCAGTCAATTACAATCATTCCTTTGCATCTAGTCATTCCAGATACCCTCTCTGCTGCCATGACTTCCCAGACTCTCAGTAAGGAGGAAGGTGAGCCATTGGAACTTACCTGTGAGTCATCCAAAGCCACAGCTCAACATACTCACCTCTCTGTCACCTGGTACCTGATGCAAGATGGAGAAAGAAGCCAAGCCAACAAGATTATTTCCCTCTCCAAAGATTTTATGTTGCTCCCTGGGCCCTTGTATACAGAGAGGTTTGCAGCTGGTGATGTGCGGCTCGACAGGCTTGGGGTCACTACCTTCAGGCTGTCCATAGGGAGGCTCCGGCCCTCAGATCAGGGCCAGCTGTTTTGTGAGGCAACTGAATGGATTCAGGATCCGGATGAAACCTGGACTTCCATCACGAAAAAGCAGACAGATCAAACAACTCTGAGGGTCCATCCAGCAGGTAATTATCTTCTCGGGAAATTCATTAACAGCTAGTAGTGGGTATTTGGATATCTTTCTTCTTTTTTTTTTTTTTTTTGGCTGTGCCATGTGGCTTGCGGGATGGGATCTTAGTTCCCCGACCAGGGATCGAATCCGCGCTCTCGGCAGTGAAAGCGCGGAGTCCTAACCACTGGACCGCCAGGGAGTTTTCTCTTTTTGTTTTTTTCTAATCTTCTGTTGGATCAAAAATATCATTAGAGGGCTTCCCGGTGGCTCAGTGGTTGAGAGTCCGTCTGCCGATGCAGGGGACACGGGTTCGTGCCCCGGTCCAGGGAGATCCCACATGCCGCGGAGCGGCTGGGCCCGTGAGCCATGGCCGCTGAGCCTGTGCGTCCGGAGCCTGTGCTCCGCAACGGGAGAGGCCACAACAGTGAGAGGCCCACGTACCGCGAAAAAAAAAAATCATTAGAAAGTTTGAGTAAATTTTGTTTTTGTCATCTGGGAAGCATAAGTAAGAAGGACAGATTTTGGGGCTCTGTCCACGGGAGGTTTTCTATGGGATAAAATCTGTTGAATGTTAGGTAGATTCCACAGCCATGCATGGAAATAGTTTTGTTGCCATTCTTGCCAGGCTCTGTGTAAGCACTTTATCTATAATACATTATCGAATTTAGTCTTAACAATCACCCTCTGAGGCAACTAGTCAAGTCCCCATTTTTGAAACATGACCCTGAGCCTCAGCTAAATGCTCTGCCTTAGCTCGCTCTGCTAGAGCTAGCGTATGAAGACAGGTGTATCTCTCCAAGGCCCTCTCCCCAAAGACACCTGCGCCTCAGAGTAGCCTATTTCCAACGTGAAGCCTTGTCTTAGTCACTGCTCCTTCCGCCTTACCCCGTTTCCTTGGAACGGTGTCACTCTTCATGATCCATTGACACTTTCGCCAAAGCAAGCAGGAAGCCTCCATTTTGATTCCTGGTCTCTCCACGTGGGCTTTGGTCCAGTAGGAGGAGGTCTATAACCATATATATCCCTGCTAAAAGCAATGATCCAATAGTGGATCATTGAAGTTTTCTTTCTTTTGTTTTAGGAGGAGTGTTATTCTATCCTATTAAAAATTGTCCTGATGGCGTTACGTGTCCAAATTATACTCAGGGAGTCCTTTGGAGACACATCAAATGTGCTTCTTTCCCCTCTCTTTGAAAACAATTTTTAAAAATGTAAAACTCTTTATTTTAAAATTTTATTTATTTAGATCAATAAAAATTGTATACGTTTAAGGTGTGCAATATGATGTTTTGATATCTGTATGCACTGTGAAATGACTACAATCAAGTTCACTAACATACCCATCACCTCACGTGGTTGTGTTGTGTATGTGGTGAGAATTCTTAAGATCCTTCTTAGCAAATTTCAAGTAATACCACACAGTATTACTAACTGTAGTCACCATGCTGTACATTAGATCTCCAGAACTTATTCATCCTGCATAACTGAAACTTTGTACCCTTTGACCAATATCTCCCCATTGTCCCCACTCCCCCAACCCCTGGTAACCACCATTCTACTCTCCACTTCTATGTATTCATTTTGTCAATTTTTAGTTTCCACAATATTTGTCTTTCTGTGTCTGGCTTATTTCACATAGCAAAATGTCCTCCAGGTTGATCCATGTTTTTGAAAATGGCAAGATTTTCCTTTTTTTCATGGCTGAATAATATTCCATTGTGTATATATACCACATTTTCTTCATACATTTATCCCTTGGTGGACACTTAGGTTGTTTTCATATCTTGGGTATTATGAATAATGAACATAGGGGTACAGATATCTCTTTGAGATACTGATTTCATTTCCTTTGGCTATGTACCTGGAAGTAGGATTGCTGGGTTATATGGTAGTTCTACTTTTAGTTTTTGAGGAACCTCCATACTGTTTTCTGTCATGGCCATACCAATTGACATTCCTTGTACACTAACAGTGTACAAGGTTTCCTTTTTCTTGTCCATCCTCACCAACACTTGCTATCTTTTGTCTTTTTGATAATTGCCATCCTAATAGATGTGAGGTGATATCTTGTGGCTTCAATTTGCATTTCCCTGATGATTAGTGATGAGCATCTTTTTCCATATTTTTGGTCACTTGTATGTCTTCCTTTGAGAAATGTCCCTTCAGATCCTTTGCTCGTCTTTATATTAAGTTATTTGGGTTTTTTTTTGTTTGTGTGTTTGCTATTAATTTGTATGAGTTTCTTATCCATTTTGGCTAGTAACCCTTTTTCAAATACATGGTGTGCAAATATTTTCTCCCATTTTGTAGATCGTCTCTTCACTCTGTTGATTGTTTCTTTTGTGTGCAGGATCTTTTTAGTTTGATGCAATCCCACAATCTATTTTTACTTTTGTTGCCTGTGCTTGTGGGGTCATATCCAGAAAATCATTGCCCAAAATAATGTCAAGAATGTTTTCCTTCTATTTTCTTTTCTTTTTCTTTTTTTTTTTTTTTGGCTGTGCCATGTGGCATGTGGGATCTTAGTTCCCTGACCAGAGACTGAACCTGTGCCCCCTGCAGTGGAAGTGCAGAGTCTTAACCACTGGACTGCCAGGGAATTCCCCCTTCTGTTTTCTTCTAGTAGTTTTTCAGTTTCAGGTCTTATGTTTAAATCTTTGATCCATTTTGAGTTTATTTTTTTAATATGGCACGAGATAGGCATCCAACTTAATTCTTCTGCATGTGGATATCCAGTTTATTCAACACGACTTATTTGAAGAGACTATCTTTTCCCTGTTGTGTATTCTTGGCACCCTTATTGGAGATTAATTGACATAGATTCATGGATTTATTTTTGGGTTCTCTTTTCTGTTTCATTGGTCTATATGTCTTTATACCAGTACCATACTGTTTTGATTACTGTAGCTTTGTAATGTATTTTGAAATCAGGCAATGTAATACCTACAGCTCTTGCTCAAAATTCTTTGGCTATTCAGGGTCTTTTGTGGTTCCATATGAATTTTAGAATTCTTTTTGTCTATTTTAAAATGCCATTAGAATTTTGATAGGGATTGCAATGAATCTATAGATTGCTTCGGGTGGTATGGACATTTTAACAATATTAATTCTTCCGACCCATGAACGTGGGATATCTTTCCATTTATTTGTTTCATCTTCAGTTAGTTTCATCAGTGTTCTATAGTTTTCATTGTACATGTCTTTCACCTCCTTGGTTAAATTTATCCCTAAGTATTTTCTTCCTTTTGATGCTATTGTAAATGGGATTGTTTTCTTAATTTCTTTTTTGGATAGTTCACTGTTAGGGTATAGAGATGCAACTGATTTTTTTTTTTTGTATGTTGATTTTGTATCCTGCAATTTTACTGAAATTCTTTATTAGTTTTAACATCTTTTGGTGGAGATTTTTTTGGTTTCTATATGTAAGATCATGTCATCTGCCAACAGTGACAGTTTTACTTCCTTTTTTCCAATTTGGATGCCTTTAATTTCTTTTTCTGTCTAACTGCTCTGGCTAGGACTTCCAATACTATGTTGAATAGAAGTGGTGAGAGTGGTCATCCTTGTCTTATTCTTGATCTTAGAGGAAAAGCTTTCAGCTTTTCACTGTTAAGTGTGATGTTAGCTGTGGACTTGCCATATATCACATATGCTTTTAACTTCGGAAAATTCCACTGGATATGCTCAGCCAAAAATGAGAGCAAGAAATCACAATTTATATCGATTCAACATAGTATAAAATATTTTATTTAAAAAGATACATTACTGTGTACTTTACACATTATGGATACATCTTGCTTAATAGGATTGCATTCAGAAAATCATGTATGTTGTTCTTTCTAGGTGATTTAAAGAGTAGTCAAGGGCATTTTTTAATTCTAGGCATTTCTTTGGCTTACCTTCTCCTCAGAACTGATCTCCCACATGAAATTCAATCCCTGTACTATCCTAACAGGAGGTAGCATCTCTCTCTGGTATTGAAAGGATAGATGCAGTGGCCTCTCTATATATCTGCCTTGCTTTTGTTTCCTAGTGAGAGATTTTCAAGTCAACATCATGGCTGAGAGCACGGTTCCTGAAGGAAAACCCTTAGAACTGGTTTGCCTGGTCATGGGCGGTGGCCGGGACCCACAGCTTCATGGCACTTGGTTCTTCAATGATATTGAAATGGCCCATATTGATGCTGGTGGAGTTCTGGGTCTGAAGAAAGACTATCAAGAAAGAGCAAGTCAAGGACAGCTCCAGGTTTCAAAGTTAAACTCCAAGTCTTTCTCTCTCAAGATCTTCTCTGTGGGGCCAAAGGATGAAGGTGCCTACAGATGTGCTGTGGCAGAGGTGACAAGAGCTCAGATGGGCTCCTGGCAGGTGCTCCAGAAAAAACAGTCACCAGACAGCTACGTGCACCTGAGGAAGCCAGCAGGTATGTGAAGTCGGGGCCAGGCACGATTGGGCTGCTTTTAGATGCCCTCATTTGTGAGTACAGGATGCCTTCATGGACACGGGGGAGGTCTTCTGAAGTCAGGTGTCAATCAGATCACTTTGAGGTGGAGTGGAGTACTGCAAAGGAAAGCACCCAAACCAGCTGAAGACCTGAGTCCTATTCCTGAGCCATTAAATGGGCCATGATCATGAACACACTATATACTTCACCTCTAAATCTCAGCTTCTTCAACTGTAAGATAATGACATCTAATTTGACTGTCCTCAAGTACCTTCTTGCATCTTAGATTCTATTTGCTGTTATTTCTAATTTTTGTCCATTGGGTGTTCTTTCAGCAGAGAGCACCTGTATTAATGAAGCCCTCTGTCTCCTTGTTCCGTGTGTGTGTGTGTGTGTGTGTGTGTGTGTGTGGAGTAGATTAAGAGGAAAGAGCTTACACTTGCCCCCTTCCTGGGAAATAAACACCCACGTTACCCCTTCTACTCCTGCGACATCTTTCATCAATTCTCTATTATCTTAAACTGATACTAAGTCTTAATTCTGCACCAAAGCATGACTCAGAGTAAGAAAAGAAGAAGTAAATGACAGCGGGCAGACTCTATTGCCTGCATGTTGCTATGATGTCGTGAGATGCCTATCCAAATGGGTCTGAGTATCTGGAAGGCCACTCAGGTCTTGTTTAGTTTCTGAAGGCTGGGTGACCTTAAACGTGTTTGAATTATCAGTGCTTTTTGTGTGGAGAGAAAACTGATAAATCTGCAAGTAATATTAGGATCCTCTGGGCTGGGTATTAAATTCAAAGTCTAGAAAAATGAATTGCCCCAAATTTTTGGTTTTGCAAAAACCAAAATCAAAAACAAAAACAAACTAAAAATGAAGATATCCTTGTTGTACTTGCTCACTGGAGGCCTCTCCAAAGATAGAAGCATTCCCCTTCCATCCTCTTCTCCGTCACCCCATTTGCTGGGAGTGAAGACGCACAGCTTTGGCCTAGAGTGGCGAGCCAGGAAGTGTGTTGGTGGTAATTTTGACACTAAACATTTGTTCTGACTTGCTAGGATTCAGAAAAAAACTACGTAGGCGTGTTTACATATTTACACAGAGCTAAATCTCAACTTAGTGTATCTGTCCCTGCTGGAGCAGATCTGTAAATCTTTCATAAACTCAGGACATAGGAATTTGTGCTAAAGAGACCTAAAGGTGTGCTTCATGGCACACAGATCACGAGCCTATCAAGTAGTTGGTCTTCCCAAGCTAAAAATAATCCTTTGTGCAGGCTGGAGTCCAGCCTGTTTCTTTTTACGTAGAATAAAAAAAGGTTATTAACAGATTTAGTAAAGATCCTGTTGAGCATTTGGTTTTGAAACTCAAACCACTACTTCAAGTATGAGCAGAGTTTTATCACTCCGTGAATGTTTTAAACAGAAGAGGGTACTCCCTACTGCTATGCATGTATACCTTACGCATGCGTGGTGAGTGTGTTACTTCTTACCGAGGGGCAGTAACGACCACAGTAAACTAAGGAAACCACAGTTAAAAAAACAAAACAAAACAAAACTGAAGCTGGTTGAAACTAATCATAATGGTTATATTTGAGTAGTGAGATTATGAGTAATAATTTCCCCTCTAATTTCTAAACTTTAGTTATGAGTCTTTTTTTTTTTTTTTTTTTTTTTTGCGGTACGTGGGCCTCTCACTGTTGTGGCCTCTCCCGTTGCAGAGCGCAAGCTCAGCGGCCATGGCTCACGGGCCCAGCCGCTCCGTGGCATATGGGATCTTCCCGGACCGGGACACAAACCTGTGTCCCCTGCATCGGCAGACAGACTCTCAGCCACTGCTCCACCAGGGAAGCCCAAGAGTCTATTTTTAACTTGAAAAAAAAATTAAGTATAATTATGCCTCTAATACCCAAAATTTGGAAGCAAGTTATATATATGTAATAGATAGATAAATAGATATAGATATATTAACCTATTTGTGGACATTAGCCTTCATTCTGCCTTTGTAACATATACATTTATATGTAAAGTGCTTAAAGACTGAACTCCTACCTCAGCAGAGAAGATCAATTTGCAAATTCATTTAGATCCTATTTAAATTTCTAATGCCAGTTCTATTTTGTTTTCCTGGGAATTCCCTGGCGGTCCGGTGGTTAGGACTCCATGCTCTCACTGCCGAGGGCCTGGGTTTGATCCCTGGTCGGGGAACTAAGATCCCACAAGGCCAGAAAAAATAAATTTAAAAAAAAATCTATTTTGTTTTCCTTTTCTGGCTTTGAACTCCTCTGCTTTCACAAAGTGCCTATCATTACACACTAACGCTAATAGCTCACCTTTGCTGGGTACTTCTTCTTGCCAGCCGGGGTAAGCCCTTTGCATGTGCCATTCACTTAGTCCTCTCACAATGCATAAGGGAGGTGTTATTATTACCCCCATATTTACAGGAAAGGAAATTGAGGCGTAGAGAGGTCCACTATGTTGCCCAGGATAATTCTGACTCCAGTGACCTTGACCTGAAGCATGAGGCCGGGCTGCCTAGGATGCATGAGCTTGAGGGACCTTTACATTGCCCACAAAGCACCCAGGACAAGGCCTTGCACAGGAAGTATCTGTTGAAGGAATGTCTGCATTTCTACACATCTTGAATTTCCCATCTGGAAGCCAGATTTACATTTATTGTTTTACACTATAGTTCAGATATAGGAAGGATCTCGCTTCAACAATATATATGAATGAATATATGATTTGAAAAAGAGAAATGTATATGTATGGGTAAATATATATATTTAAAAAAATACTTGGGGGGAAATGTATATATATATTTATTGTATATATATATTTATATATACATACATTTTCCCCCAAGTAATTGTTTTTTAATGGCAGTATTTTGAACAGAAATATAATTAACAATACTCCTTCACTGTTCAGAATACATGCTAATTAGGGGAAGGTAAGTAAGAAGAGGAAGGTCATTTTGAACTGTGAAAGTCTGAATTCTAAAAAACTAAACATTTAAATAAACACAGCTTCATTACTTTCAGCCTCATACACCAACTGTAATTAATTTAACAAAATATTACCAGATGTTTTCCCAACTAGATGTTCCTAAGGAACAAATCACTGAAAATTAGGGCAAATTATAAATTGTTTAAGTGTAAATAAGTTCTCCTGGTATTCTTTCTGCTGTTTCTACTATGTAAGTGTTGATGAAATCTTTTTTTCTGGGGGTGGTGCAGGAGTGAACAACCTGATCGGATTTGTCACACAGTTGTCAAGTCCTAATTAATGAGATTTCACCGTTTTTTAGAAAAAATTTCATTTACTTGAAATAATTTTTTCTTTTAAAATCTGTAATCCACAGCAAGATATGTGGTCGTGTCTACCAAGAACAGGCAGCAAGCAGTGTGGGAAGGAGAGGCGTTAACCCTTCTCTGCAAGGTAGGTGGAGCTAAAAGTCTCCTGTCCGTGACCTGGTGGCACATCCCACAAGACCAGACACAGCCGGAGTTTGTGGCTGGAATGGGGCAGGATGGCACCATGCAGCTGGGTGCCTTCTACGGGGAACTCAATAACCACAGCAACACAAGGCTGGAGAAGATGGACTGGGCCACCTTCCAGCTGGAGATCACCTCCACCACCATCACAGACAGCGGCACGTATGAGTGCAGGGTGTCTGAGATGACCCAGAACAAGGACAGAGATCAGAGCTGGGCTCAGATGTCAGTCACTGTAAAACCTCTGGGTAAGTGTCAGGGAAATCCTTTTCTGAACTTACGCATCTTCAGTATCTTCCTTCTGCAGTGGAATGCTGTGGAATTCGATTGTGTGTCACCCTGAATCCCCTAGTTACGGTACGTGTACCCCAGGACACAGAGCAGAGTCTCTGGCTACCATGTCTGTCAACTGATCTCTGAAGTTTACTCATCTTTAGAGAGATCATCGTTAGAGTGCAACTTGTAAGTTGTTATTCAAGGCTAAAAACGAAATCGTATGAATTGGAATAGACTTAGAAAAGAGATATGCCAAGTGGAGCGGAGCCTCATGCATTTCAGGCTTCTGACAGCTGCAGCCCTGGGATTGCAGAGTCTCTTGGAGCACGTGCAAAAGAGTGATGGTGCACCCAGGAGTGGGGGTGAGGGAAGGAGGCCAGCCAGTGGGGCCGGGGAGCACCCCACCCACCCAGCAGCAGCTGTGTAAGGAGCAGACTGGAGAAACACCGCCTGTTTGCTGTCTCTGCTGGGAACACTCTTTAGAAGAGGGTCAACTTTAGAAAATTGAAGTCAGACTTCAGGACAGACTGTACTGTGAGTCAGCTTCTACCCCCACGTATTTGATACTCCCCGTGTGTGAACACATAGCTCAATGTGAGGCGGCAATGACTAGGACAACTTGCACCTCGATTTGCTGAATGTATTAGAAATTGTGTTTCACGTTTCTGCCCACAGAGTCAAGTTTACAAGTTAGTCTGATGAGCCGTCAGCCACAAGTGAAATTAACCAACACCTTTGACCTGTCCTGCATAGTGAGGGTTGGCTACTCTGACCTCAAGGTTCCACTCACCGTGACATGGCAGTTCCAGGCAGCTAGATCTCGAGCCTTTGATCTGCTTCTTCGAATCACCCATAATGGCACTATTGAATGGGGGAACTTCCTACCCCAGTTCCAAAAGAAGACGAAGGTTTCACAGTCTTTATTTCGTTCTCAACTCCTAATCCATGATGCCACCGAGGAAGAAGCAGGAGTTTATCAGTGTAATGTAGAAGTTTATGACAGAAGTTCCCTACACACAAACGGCCCCGTGAGGGCTTCTGCCATCTCTCACCCATTGAGGATCACTGTCACTTTACCAGGTAAACACTACTTGAAATTAATCCTGCTTTTTTTTTAAACATTCCTCCCATTTAGGGTAAGTTATAGAATTAAAGCATAGAATACCTTTTCCCCAAGTTTGTATTATAAGTAAGCACCATATGTAAGTGATATACAGGAAGGGAGGGGGAGGGATAAATTAGGAGTTTGGTATTAACAGATACTCACCAGTATATATAAAATAGATAAACAATAAGGACCTACTGTATAGCAGAGGGAACTATATTCAATATCTTATAATAACCTATAATGGAAAAGAACCTGAATAAAAATATATATGTGTATAACTGAATCACTTTGCTGTATACCTGAAACATTGTAAATCAACTATACTTCAATTTAAAAAAGGAACCAGAAACAAAAACAAACACACACACACACACAGAGGGATATCCAGGTTAACATTAAGTTAATATGCACAAAATGGCCATACTGGTTTTTGTTTTTGTTTTTCTTTGGCTGTGTTGAGTCTTTGTGCCTGAAGGCGGGCTTTCAATAGTTGAGTTGAGCTAGGGCTACTCTTCATTGCGGTGCGCAGGCTCCTCATTGCGGTGGCTTCTCTTGTTGCGGAGCACAGGCTCTAGGCGCGCGGGCTTCAGTAGTTGTGGCATGCGGGCTCAGTAGTTGTGGCACACGGGCTTAGTTGCTCTGCGGCATGTGGGATCTTCCCAGACTAGGGCTCCAACCTATGTCCCCTGCATTGGCAGGTGGATTCTTAACCACTGCGCCACCAGAGAAGTCCCGCCATACTGGTTTTTAAAACATTGAAATACTTCCACATTGACGAATTCTAACTGTTGCCCCTGCCCCATTTCCCATAAGTCCCCACTACTCAGCAACTAAAGGGAACCACGTGGCACAGCAGGGGACATCTAGGACCAGATCCAGTGGTGAGGAATTCTTTCGGATTGGTCGGTACCCATGCCTGATCAGTCATTAAATGTTTAGAATGTGTCCCCTGGTTGTATGGATAATGTAAATCCCATTAAATACATTTATCCATTCATTTTGATGTGTTAATATACAAGAGTTAGAGTATTTGTGATTACAGTCAAAATAATTTACCTTGTCAGTTGGTAATAGAGGAGAGAGATTAAAAGTAAGACACAACTTGGCAAATTCTGCTGTGCTGGTATCTTTCATGACTTCCATTCTCTTAGGGCAAAGTGTTCAAGAGGCTTTGACGTCATTTAGACCTGACAAGCACTGGATAGAAGCATCACTTTAGACAAGGCACTTCAATCTGTCCAAGCCCAGTGACCCCCATATGTAAATTGCTGACGTGCAATTTAAAGATGGCGACACATTCCTAGTACAGCGCCTGACACACCAAGCAGATGTTCAAACGTGGTAGCAGTCATTACCTCAGCTACTGAGCTATATTTTTGGTAATAGTAGTGATCTCCTTGTTGATTAACTCATGCCTTAATTTACTTGTCCTTTCTGATGTATTTCAAATTGTTGGTTTAATCCTTTCTTCTTAAAACTTCTCTTTTCTTGACCTTATGACACAAGATTTTCTTGGTTTCCTTCCTAACACGCCGACTGCCCCTTCTCATTCTCTTTTGCAGAATCCTCCTCCTTCACTGACTCATCCCTTTGGGTTTCATCCTCAACTTCCTCTCTTCTCATTCTGTACACTGTCCCAAAGTGGGCTTATCCCTACCCAGGGATTCAGGCTATATACTGACAAATCCCAAATTCATTATCTTGAAATACTTCTCTTCTGATCTCCAGACTCATCAATGCAATTGCCTCTAAGACATGTCTACACTCAATATGTCAAAACATAAATACACCATTATTATCCCTCCAAAGCTACTCCTCTGACGTTGTTCTCCATGTTCCCACCATCCATCGGTGATCCAAGCAAGAAACCTGAGTCATCCACTACTCCTCCACGTCTACCTCATGTCCAAACTCCCATTACATGGCAAGGTCCTTTACAATCTGATACATTTATGTCTTTCCTGCATCATCTCTTCCCACTTTCCATCTTGAATTTGAGCTCCAGCCACACTGAACTACTGGCAGTTCCTCACATACTCTATGCTCTCTCTCATTTTTAGTCTTCGTTCAAGTTGCTTCTTTTGCATGGAATTCCTTAACCCCTTCTCCATCAGATTAATTCCTATTAACCCTTAAGACGTAGCTTAGAGATATCTCCTCCAGGAAGCCTCCCCTCACTCCCATATTTGGGTTAGACAGTCCTGCTGTGTGCTCTGACAGCCACTTCTGCGTACCTCTGTCCCCCCTGGGTGACACAATCCTATAATCTCTAAGCCTCTGTCCTGTACTAGTCTCTTCCTCTAAGCAGAGACTGAGGGGAGGGATCTACAGAGCCTGGAATAGTCTGGCACATAATATAGTACATGCTTAATAAATGTTTGTTGAAGGAAGAGTAAAGGGACCTACTGGGAGCATCAATAAGCAGCCACAAAAGTAGAACTGGTGACGTCAGCAAGAAGATAAGCATAAGATTTGGAAGCCAGGCTTTACCGTTCATCTTTCTGACAAAGCAGGAAAGCTTTGGGTTAAAGGATAGTTGACTCCATATCCGTACAATGTTCCCACAGTCGAGTGGCTGCAAAGAAACGCACAGTTGTAATAGCCCACGTACAACTTCCTCTTGTTTACCCATGTTTGCCGGCAGATACAATTAGACTTAGGCAAACTGTGGATCTAGGAGTATCTGCATAGTGAACACACAGACAGAGCATTAATAGGGCCACCTCTCAATTTGATTTATGAAATGCTATAGAAGAGAAGATGTCGGTGCCAAAATATTGAAGCAGTTTCTTTTCTTTTCTTTTATACTGGAGTATAGTTGATAAACAATGTTGTGTCAGTTTCAGGTGTACAGCAAAGTGATTCAGTTATACATATACATGTACGTGTCTATTCTTTTCCCATTTGGGTTATTACAGAATGTTGAGCAGAGTTCCCTGTGCTATACAGTAGGTCCTTGTTGGTTATCTAATACTGAAGCATTTTCATGTGGAAGAGATTGGCTTTTCTGCATAACACTTCCTCCCTGCCCCACACTCCCTATCCCACTCCTCCGGGGCAGGGGTAGAATTAGGACCAGTGGATGGAAGTTATGGAGAAGTCAAATTCAACTTGATATCAGAAAGAGTTCTCTAGTGGCAGCATGTCCAAAGGTGGAATGGGTGCTTTGTCAGTTAGTGAGTTGTTCAGAGGCTGAATGAGCAGTTAGTGGGGCTGCTAAAGAGGGAATTCGCACATTTGATGGGTGTAGGAGGTATGGCCCTAGTTGACCTCCAATGTCCCTTCTACTTTAAAGTTCTATTTTCTAGCAAAGTAACAAAAGTAATGGTACCATTCTTTTAATTTAGAGAGCAAGCTGAAAGTGAATTCAAGTAGTCAAGTCCAAGAGATCGCCATCAACTCCAACACAGACATAGAGTGTAACATCCTGTGCCCATCCACTGGAAACCTTCGGTTGGCTGTTACTTGGTACTTCTCTGCCACGTCCACTAATGCACCCTGGCTGAGGATCCTGGAAATGGACCGAACCCACGTAGTAAAATACGGGGATGAGTTTCAGACCGCACGGAGGAAACAAAAATTCCACGCCGAGAAAGTTTCCCAAGACTTGTTTCAGCTACACATTCTGAACGTGGAAGACAGCGATCAGGGCAAATATCGCTGTGCTGTGGAGGAATGGCTCTGGTCTACAAATGGCACTTGGCACAAGCTTGGAGAAAAGACGTCAGGTCTAACAGAATTGAAACTCAGGCCCACAGGTAAACCTTGCAAGTATATTCTCACTCATCTTTCTGTAGAATTGCCGTCTTCTCTTGGGCAGCTGTTCTATGGAGTGATTAGATGAAGGTAAAAATATGACCTACAGTCATAGGAATAGTGCCCACCTGCACAATGACTGCAGGACTGGATAGCCCACCAGAGCAGGCGGGGGTCCCTTTGAGTCAAGCTGTGATTTGGAGAAGCTTAGATGGGAGCAAGATCCCTTTGATTGGTTTGCTTCTCAGCCTGACAGGCTGGTCTATGCAGTGACCCAGGGTATCGTGTCTCCAGCTCTCTGTAAAACAAGCTGTGTCACTCCAGTGGGGCTCTACTGTAATTTGGCAGAAAGAGAGTAATACAAAGCATATTTCTCCCACTGTGAACAGAAGCTGTCCAACTCTATAGGGATGTATGGAGAGACTGCTGTTCAACATTTGGCTGCCTAAACATAAGGCAAATAGAAGTAGTCAACTGCTGGAATGGCTTACTGAGGGCATCTCCTCCTCCTCAGGAGATCTTTAAAAATGGAATAGAGGGCTTCCCTGATGGCGCAGTGGTTGAGAGTCCGCCTGCCGATGCAGGGGACACGGGTTCGTGCCCCGGTCCGGGAAGATCCCACATGCCGCGGAGCGGCTGGGCCCGTGAGCCATGGCCGCTGAGCCTGCGCGTCCGGAGCCTGTGCTCCGCAACGGGAGAGGCCACAACAGTGAGAGGCCCCTGTACCACCAAAAAAAAAAAGAAATAGAAGTTCCATTCATTTGCATTAGTCTAAGAGTGCCGTGGTCTAAATGTGGGCAGGGTTGATTAGATCTGTCAGCATTTGTTAGGTCACCTCCAATGTTGATTAAAATTAAATGAACCTCACAGCTAAGGTTTGGGAGCTGGCCGAGATCCAAAAGCACAATGCAAATAAGTTAATCTAGTTTGGCACTGAAAATTCTATTTTCAATGTAACATCAAAAAATAAGATTATAATGAACATTGCTATGTGTTAGGCAATTAGGAATCCAAAGATAAATAAGGCAGAGCCTTAAGGAGCTCACAGTCGGCTGCGAGCAGCAGGGGCAAAGCAGCAGCTGAGCGCGGGGGTCTCTTTCTGCCGCTCTGGCCGCCCTTCTCCATGCCCTTCCTCTCCCTGCTCAATGCAGGTGTTCATCAGGGACACCTGAGCCCATTTTTCTTCTTACTCTCTGTGCCCTTCAAAACCTCTTAAATACCACCTTGGTGGTAACAACTACCACCTTCAATGAAACAGCTCTAAGATTTTATGCTTAGCCCCCATCTCCTGAGCTCCAGGCCTTTCTACCCATCTGCTTGTTGCACATTTCTTCTTGGCTGACCCAGAGAGCCTCACACTCAGCATATCCCAAATCATCCTTATGTCCCAAATCATCATGATGGCGTTTATCATCTTGGCCACCCCACAAGGCTTATGGCCGCTCCATTCTCCATCTGGGTGGCTGGCATCCCTTTCTCCCAGTTGTCCAAGCTGAATCTTGACAGTGTGTGCCCACCCCTTTATGAAGTGCGCACCATTTCTTAGCTCAAGCCAGCGCTTCCCATTCAGAAACGTGGGACCAGTGCTGTTCAATCTTTTAGTCTACCAAGAAATGCCTAAAATCTTTTTTTGGTGACGTCACTCATTTTGGAATGTCCATAATGAATTCAAATTCTTTTAAAATACTGAAGATGTCAAATAAAACATATTTGTGGGCTGTGTGTGGCTGGCTGGGAGTAGCTAGCTGTGTACCCTGGTGTAGGAAGTAAGTTAAGGAAGAGGCCCCAGGGAAAGATACTGAGAAGGATTCGTAAGAATTGTAGGAGGGATGCTTTCTCTGAAATCAAAAGAGGAGAGGATATCAGAAGAAAATGGATTTCAGTGACAGAAACTGCAGAGAGGACAAAAAAGACTGGAAGGTCTCTTGAGCTGGGAAATCGGGCCTTTTCTGGGGACCCTGGCCAGAGCATAGTGATGAGATTGGAAAGCTGATGGCAATGAAGTAGGGAGTAACTTGAGGTGAGGAAGCAGAGGCAGTACCATGTAAACTAATATTTCACATGCTTCTCTATAAAGGGAAAGAGAGAGTAAAGATGGTAGCTAAAAAAGAATGTAGAATCAGACAAAGATGTTCTTTTAAAGATAGATCAATAAATATGTTTGTAGTAGAGTTGAAAATTTAGTGCATACTATAATTTATTTTGTGTGTGATTACTCTAGCCTTCCAAGCCCTCACCTGTGAGTTAAAAGGGGAACATTTTTAAAAAGTAAATGTCAAAATCTGTTTAAAACTTAGTCTAATCCAATAATGTAAATAGTCTCCTTGAGTGATATTCTAACACACGTATGAAAAATGCTCAGTCTCTTGGGTAACCTCCTCTTTCCCTGCGTCTAATACCTGAGGTGATATCCGGTGTATGGGAGGAGGGTAATTCGCAAAAACAAAAAGGGGCAGGGATGGAACGTGGGACTTGAGGGGCGGGCTGGAAGTTTCGAAGGGCCTTTCTGGGAAGCAGAAGGGAGAGCTGAGCCGGGAGAAGTAAAAGCAGCAGGGCAGAACATCCGGCAAAGCTGGGTGGTTTTCAGTGTCAGGTCCAGCAGGCAAGAGGCAGACTGATGAAGGGAAGTGGCTGGTTTGATTCATAGCAGAGAAAGTTCTGGCAAATATGGAAGAAGGATAAGGGTCAAGGAAAAGTGTTAAAGATGAAGGACCTGATATCTAAAAATTATAAGATGGCATCCCTTCAATGAGAAGTAGACTTTTCAGAGGAGGTATCCAATCTAAGATCTGGGTTCTTCTCGAACTTACCGCCATTTTATTTCCTAGGAAGTAAGGTACGCATCTCCAAAGTGTCCGGGACAAAAAATGCCTCCGAGCACAGCGAGGTGGCCATCCGCTGCAGCCTGGAGAGTGCGGGCAGCCCAGCCTCCCTGTTCTCTGTGATGTGGTACTGGAACGGAGAAAATTCTGGAAGTAAAATGCTGGTGCACCTGCAGCATGACGGCTTGCTGGAGTATGGCGAAGAGGGGCTCAGGAGGCGCCTGCACTGTTACCGTTCATCCCCTGCAGACTTTGTCCTGATGATGCATCGAGTGGAGATGGAGGATACTGGAATGTACTGGTGCAGGGTGGCAGAGTGGCAGCTACACGGTAACCCAAGCAAGTGGGTCAGCCAAGCATCAGACGAGTCACAGCATGTGGTGCTCACGGTGCTGCCTTCAGGTAACTAGCGGTTCATCTGCCATGGCTCGCGGTCAGGAGAATCTTTGTCTCCCCTCCTATGCTTTCCCACCCAGCTATGTTTTGCTTCTTTTCAGGCTGAAAACAATTTACAGATTCCCGAAAGAAAATGACTTCGCCATTTCTCTCAACAGTAACTCAGTTTGGGCAGACAAGGTTACCTGAGGTTTTGGCATGGACGTTTAAACGTCAAGGGCATCTGACCTCCTCCCCCACGTTCCCTCTTAAACAAAAAAGCCATCAACATTGTATCCCTTTAAATAACCAAATAATGTTGGAGGCAGACATCCTTACCTCTTGGCTAATTCTCCAATCTCAGAAGGCTGACCTGTGGTGGGACTGAGACGAGCAATAGGGACATGGTGACTTTGTGTTTGATCTGGTTGAACCAAAATCAGCTATATCTAAATGCTCCCTGAGTCAAAACGAACCCAACAACAAAAAAAAGCCTTTCTCAACGAATAAGTGGCAAGCTTCTTATTGACGTGTTCAACAAACTATCGGAGTTTTGGTCGTGATAGTCATTGGGTGTGCCTCTCCTGACTGCACCTTGGAAGTCATCAAGGGAGGAGGTGTGTCCCATAGAACTTGTTTACAGGCTCTGGCAAAAAGACAGCTGCTTGAAGACCATTGGCCAAAGGGTGACCCTTCTCTGTGTGGGAAGGTCAGCTTATCCTGCTGAGTGCTCAGCTTTAGGAGGTGTGTAGAACAAGAGGTCGTGAAGGATGAGAGGGCTTCCTTCCAGCCAGTGTGGTGCCAAGCATGTAATAGGTATCCATTAAGCAAAAATTCCTCCAGCCAGACCAGTAAATCTTCCCAGGTGATTAAGGAGCCAGTAGATGTTGTAGCCTGCTCATCCTCTGAGCCATTTCTTTCTGGTGGGGTTTAAGGATAAGGCGAGAGGTGAGCTATAGGTTAAACTCACAGTGGGAGAGGGTCACTGGAGAGGCAGAGGTGTGGTCTTGGTGCCCCATCCCAGGAAGAGTAGAAAGGATCAATAAAGATAACATCCCTACAGCACCAGCTAGCTTTGGGGACAGTCTGTAGGAGGGAAAGAGGGCTACTGAGAACGGATGGCGCCTCCTCAGAGTTGGGACAGTTGCATCCCAGCCCCAGCAAGGCTTCTAGAGTGGAAGTCAGAGTTATCTAACTTGTTCGCTGGGGTCCATCATTCTCGTCCCCTGACTATTCTTCAGCAGGATTCTTCTCCCAAGTATCCGGGCAGGACTTATCTTCCTATCAGCTTTTCTTCCATTCCAACAATTATAGGAAGTCCCCACCCTGAGCACATTCCATACATGTTTTCCCACTGGAATTCCTAGGCTCTGTAGATTCAGCCGTTTATGCAGTAGAATAAATAGATAATAACTGTAAAAAGTGTATATTCTGTGGCTAAAAAGCACATCTCCTCTGAGACAGGTGGGATCGTTCAAAGCATATATATACTGTTCATCTTTGTGGAATTCTTATAAAACAGGTGTAAAGTTTTTAAAAAGATCAACTCTGGAAAGAAAATGTTACAAACTGAATGGTCTTTGTATTCTTCACAACTGAAGGCGCTGGAAAGCCTGTGCCATGAGAACCTGAGGGTTTTCATTATAAGTACAGTTAAGTGTTCCCAAGTAAATCTGTATAATATAGCATCTCACTTCTTCTGCCTGGCTGTTCCTTTCTGGTAGTTGGGAAGACAGTGTGGGTGATGAAAAATCCCAGGGTTTGGAATCAGACAAGCCGAGTCTCAAATTGCAGCTCTATCACCTCCCTACTAGCTATGAAGTCATACCCTGGTTACTCAGCTTTCTCATAAAATGAGGATTATGGTGCAAATGCATATGAAGTACCTAGCACAGTCCCTGACGTACTCTTAAGTGCTCAACAAATGTTACCTCCTTCTCCCCTTATAACTCCAAACGTGCTAGCGACGCACACACACACACATATCTACCTATGTATATATCTATTTATGTGATAAAATATTTTAATTTGTTCAATAAATAACTGTATGAGGTTCTGAGGACACACAAAAAATATATTACGGAATCTGTTCCCACAGAGCTGACTCTGGTGGGGAAGTAAAGTCCAACACGATACGTGTCATGAAAGAAATAGTCTCAGGATACTAAGGAAGGAGCAGAGGCAGGGCTGGGATGAAGAGCTGGGCTGGGAGATCTGGAAAGGTTCCCCAGAGTATGGGGCCTATAAAAAGGAAGGCACATGTTCTGGGAAAAGGAAAGTATATGCTAGATGATCAGAGAAACTGTGGTAGGATGGCAAGAGAGGAGGCTAGTGGGATGGAACGGGTACAGACGTCAAGTGGGTCTTTTGTATGGAGCTAGGGAAGATAAGCTTTCTCATGGAAGTTACAGAGTGTCATTGAACAAGTTCAGGCAGGAGAGTGACACATCAGATTTGCATTTTAGAAAGCTCTTCCTGGGAACAGTGTTAAAAATGAATTGAAAGGGAGGTAGGCACAGAGAAGGGAGAACTATTTGAAATTGATTGTAGGGACCCAGGTGAGACAAGATGAAGGCCTGAATTAAGGCAGTGCCTGTGAGGGCTGAGAGAAAGACAGGCGTTCTGCATTCCGTATTAGGAGATGGGGTCTTCAGGATTTAGAGACTGATCAGGTGTATGTGGATGGTGAATGAGCAGAAGAAGAGAATCGAGGATGAATACCAGGCTTCTGGCCTAAGGTGGATAGTGGTGACAGTCACTAAATGAGGTGATATAGGAGAAAGGACTAAAGGGGAAGATGAGTTCAATTTTGAATAAGTTGGACTGGAATTGAGTTTGGAGTACCGGTGAGTCATCTAGGGAGATCTGTCCAATAAACTTCAGGATTTCCAAGTGAGATCTATACCAGAGTTATAGATTAGAAGTCGTCAGCTTATGGCCTATAACGATGCCCAAGGATGGATCCCTGAGATACACCGCTAGTTCTCGGGGGACTGCAGAAGAGGAACCTGTGAAGGAGAGTGGAAGGAGTAGCCTAGAGGTAGGAGGAGAACCAGGGTACGGTGGTATCATAGACACCAAAGGCAGGAGGGATCAAGAGTAGGGAGAGCCGACAGATTCGACTAGTGCAAAGAGGCCAATTAAGACCAAAATAGGAAAATATCCATTGGGTTTAACAATATAGGGCAGTTACAGAAAAATAGTGAGAAAAGTCAGACTGCAGGGACAAAGTGGACACATCAAATCCAGTTCATGCTTTCAAGAGCTTTGATGTAAACGGAAAGAGAGAAGACAAGAGCAAATGGCAAGAGGTGCAGTGAAGCTTTGCTTTGTTTTGTTTTGGTTTGAAGATGGTAGGGACTTGAGCACTGTTACATCTAGAGAGAAAAGAGCCAGTAGAGAGGAAGAAGAGGAAGATTAGAAGAGAATGGATATGACTGACAGTCCAACATCTTTTTTTTTTTTTTTTTTTTTTTTTGCGGTACGCGGGCCTCTCACTGCTGTGGCCTCTCCCGTTGCGGAGCACAGGCTCCAGACGCACAGGCTCAGCGGCCACGGCTCACGGGCCCAGCCGCTCCGCGACATGTGGGATCCTCTCGGACCGGGGCACGAACCCGCGTCCCCTGCATCGGCAGGTGGACTCTCAGCCACTGCGCCACCAGGGAAGCCCAGTCCAACAACTTGAGTGAACTTATACCACCTCCTGATTGGAATGCTCCTTCATGGCATCTGTCCCAGATCAACACCTACTAATCATTCACCAACCAACTTAACTGCCACTTTCTCAGTGACTTACCTTATTTTCTTAGTCATCCCACCTGTTTAACATCCATCATCAATGCCACACGATACCTTCTGAGAAGGCAAAGACTGAATGTCTTGTTCTCAGCGCCAGCACAGTGCTTGGCACAGAAACAGTACTCAAATACTGAATCCGTGTAGCTGCCCTCCTGGTCAGGACCAGCCTGTGTATTAATAAAGTCCAGTTTAAATACAATAGGCTACCAATTCTCACTTCTCAAATGGTTTTCTACCACCTTTATTGGCAATTCTGGGCTGGGTTAGTTTAGGACTACTTGATAGAACTGTGAAGCATATGGATCCTGTGAAGGCAGCAAAGTTGAGAGGTATTTCCCTGGTGGAATGCACCTTGCATTTTTCCTCTCCATCTTACTTCCTTAGCTATGACTCAGCCAAAGCAGGGGCTACAGCTACTTGAGTCTTTTTGTATCTCATTCTAGAGAATTCTCTGTGATTAATAGGCAAGGTTATAAAGCTTTCTGGGGACTGGATTATTTGTAGTAGAATGGTATTTGTCACTATTTCCCAGCTTTTGGGGGGTAAGGATATATTTAGAAAGTGGATTCTCAAAGGAGATATGCCCCTATCACACTGATGTTTCTGGAGAGAACATGCTATTTATCAACGCTACCCCGGTGCTTCCAACAAGGCCTGGCACATAGCGCTCGGTCCAACAAATGCTTGATGAAAAATGAGCAAGCGACTCTTCAATGGAGTTGAAACTGATGCTGTAAGGGGCTCACTTACTCTGGGATGCACTTGTATCAGGTTACCTAATCCTGCTTTCAGTTCTTGGCAGGAGCCACCCCTCCCACACAGCCACACCTGGCACGTCAGCTGCCGAAGTCTGGGGTTGGGGGTGCGTCGGTAGCCCCCTCATCATCCTCCACCTTTCTTCTTCTAAGGTCGGTATTTCTGGGGTAATATCAGAAAGGAATGCCCCTCATGATGTGTTTGGCTGGGGGTAGAAGCAAGTTACAAACTAAACCTTGTGATGCAGTGTCCTCATTATACTTCTGGCTCTTCCTTACAGGCCTTGTACTTGGAGCACTGAGCACTTACTCAGATGGCTTCAAAATGCCAAACCTTAATGGTTTTGAATGTCACTAATGCTAATCCAGATACGGGTGAGAGGCAGATGGTGGGAATGGTGACTGTGGGATCCAGAGCGAACACCGCCCTCCCAGGAGAGGTAATTTAGAAGCACTGACAGTTTCTAGCTGTTGGCCAATTCGGCACTGCGAAGGGCGCACTTTGTCGTCCTTGGATGGCAGATTGCTCGAAGCCCAGCCCCATTTAGATAGTCAAGCCCTCTGGCAGTCCCTTCACACGGAAGGTTAGAGTCTCAGTGGCAGAAAATCCAAGTGCCAGGTTTCTTTCCACCTTCTGTGTGCCGGCCCCATCCCCCGCAACATCACACCACCATCCTAGCAATGGTGACCCATGGGTGCCGCGGACTCTTGCCTCCCAGTGTTCTGCCTCTCGTGATTGCAACAGGAAGCCAGAGTCTCCCAAGTAATCATTTGACTCTCAGCTGAATGTCACCCACCCACCCAGGGGACAGAGGGATCAGAGATTCAAGGGAGAGACGTGGGCTGTGGAAGGACATGGCCAGGTCTGCGGTCCCTGAGTGAGGAATCAGTAGGTTCAGTCCTCTTTTCTGCCTGGTCTCTTGGGAAAGAGTTGCCTACGATTTTCCGAACTTTCTTAGTAGCTTTCTAGCTGATATTTATTTCTTGCTGACTCAACAAATGTGCTGGGCACCGTTTCGTGCTTTATTAAGCATTATCTCATCACAACTCTAGAAATTATTATCCTCGCTTGATTGACTAGGAAACTAATGATTAGAGAGAGAGGAAAAGTAATTTGTCCAAAGTCAATAGCAGTAAGTTGTAGAGCCAGGATTTGAACCCGGCTCTCCTTGAGACATAGTAGGTGCTCAGTCCCTACTCGGCACGTGAGTAGTGTGAAGTAGCAAGGCCAGAGCTCTTACCCACTCGACAGCTCTATTCTCTTTCAGCATTTCAGTCTGTACCTCCTTCTTAACCATACGCTTTCAAATGTATTCAGGTAAGACCTGGGAGAAATATTGTAGTCAAGCAGGGCCTTGGAGAGAAGGGTCAGGTAGGATGTGGAGAGGAGATGAGAAAGAATTCAAAATCTATCTTTATCATTGCCCACCCTTTCAAAAACAAAAACCAAATCTAGGGTGGAGAATGTAAATGAGACCAGAGAAGAACCGGGCAACAAACCCCCGTAGCTCCTTGCCAGCCCTGTTCAGAGCTGCCAGGCTAATGTTCAGTGATGGTCTTTACTCTGGGTAACATGATGGTAGCCACTCCTGGGTTCCTGTGTGCGCAAATCACTCACACAATTGACTCATTCTTTATTCTCCATTGATGACCTATGAACAAAGTGCTGCACGAGGGGAAAAGATGCGTAAGACACAGGCCCTCTCCTCCCGGAGTTTACAATGCAGGAGCTGGACACAGGTTTAGATTCTTTCTTAACCTCCCACAAAGAGATGTCCTTCAGTGTGCAAAATGTATCTGCAGTGCCGAAAAAAAATGGAATTCTTGCAGCATGAGGTTGATCGCAATGACCTCTAAACCTGTCATCTTCATCTCTAAGTGTCTGTAATCCCATGAATCCTACAGCTTAACCTCTGAAGAAGAAAGTGCTTAGGTCATTACAGTTTTCCAATAAAAGCACAGCTACTATTAGCATCAGATTTTTCAGAACAGCCCTGGTTTTGAATATCCTGTCATAAATAAATGTAGTCAGGAGACTACATTTAATAGTTGGTGTCTCTTTAAGCATATGTCTTTGTGCATCGAGAGACTAAATCCCTGTCCTTTGACTAGTAACCTGAGGCACTGCTTCCTGGAGCCTGTGGCATTGGCAGTTCTCTCGCCTTTGCTTCCCTGGCTGTGTGGCCAGGAACCCCTCGGGGGCTGCTGGTGCGTGCTCTGTGTGTCCATGTGTTGATAGCACTTCCCCTCGGACTGCAGCTGCCGGATGCTTCAGCATGCCTTTATATTATAGTAGCCTTTGCCCATGTGGTTGCAGCGAATCCAGTTTAATTCAGATCAGCAAACGTTATCAGGCACATGTGCTAGGCACTGCAAGGACTATAGGAACAAAGGACACTGTCAGAGCTACTCAAGTACCTGTGATGACAAAGATGGTTAAAAGGGGATGAAAGAGGTCTAAACAAAGGCATGTGTGAGAAGAGGATAGAAAGAAGAGGAAAACTGCCTGAGGAGAGGCGGAAGGCTGGAGTGATGGAGAGCGAGGCCAGTGGGACCTCGAGGGTACGGTGCAGTGAGCACGCCAGGTAGCGGTGCTGGTAAGCGCAAGAGGGGAAAGGAGCTGAATGGGGGTGGGGGAGTGTGAGACCAGTTTGGAGATTCAGGAAGGGATGGTGCCTCTTACTTGTAGCTGCTGTTCTTCTTATCAGGACAGTGCAGAGCATGCGTGCGCGTGCGCGCGCGTATGTGTGTGTCTGTGTGTGTTTTCAGAAGCCGCAGTGGGAATAACTCAGTTAAAAATTCAGGACCGGCAACAGAGTTGGGAACGAGGGTTGAATTATAGATATCTTTTCTGAGGAAAGAAGATTAAAGGAGAGGTTTTCTCTTCTGTTTTGTTTTTCTTTCTGGCTGTTCGTTTTAAGTAGGTCATGGGAACCTCTGGTGGTTGGAAATTGTTGGGTGAGGGGGAGCCAGGCTGGAACAGGCCATCCTGGAGCTCTCTTCTCCCAGCTCCCTTTCCTTTGCTCCTCGCATGTGATTTAAGGGGCACACTGCCATTTGGCCCCGTTATTCTTACATGTATTTTCCTGTAACAATAAATCCCAGAAGTGTTTATAACTGATGAGCACAAATAAGCTGGAGACTAATTATTCTCTTCATTTTCTTCCTTTTTGTCGCAGAGCCCACGTTTCCTTCCAGGATCTGCTCGTCAGCACCTTTACTCTATTTCCTATTCACCTGCCCCTTCCTTATGCTCATCCTTCTGTTCATTTCCCTCCTCTGCCTGTACTGCAAGGCCAGGAAGTTGTCAACTCTGAACCTAAGCATACAGAAAGAAAAGGCCCTCTGGGTGGACCTGAAAAGGGCTGGAAGCAGGACCACACACAGATTGGAAGAGGACGGTGAAGACAGCTGAATCCCGAGAGGCGCCTGCAGCCCTGTGGAAAGAGTGCGGACTTTGAAACTGGACTGACCGGGAGAGGAGTGCCCCCTGCCTCTGTCCTCCTCTGAGTCTGCGGCCTGGGGCGAGGTACCTAGGACTCAGAGGGAACATTTATTGAGCGCGTATGTGGTGCCAGAAACCGTTAAGTGTTTCTTCACGTGTCACCTCATCTACCCATTGCATCCCCCACAGGAGCTAGGTGACTCTGTTACACCGTCTTCCGCTTGCCACACCTCACGGGGCTTAGGTTCTGCATCCATAGATCTGTAAGGAGAGGAGTACCTCCCTCACACAGCTGCTGGGGATTAAATGAGATCCCATGGCAGAGCCCAGGGCGATGCTTCCCTCTCTTATGTCACTGATTCCCTGGACAACACTCAGTGGTCCTGCCACACCGGCTCCAGGTAATCTTTTGCCTCCAGATAAGACACGTAGGAAAGGACCTGATGCCAGCAAGGAAAAGGGGTTGGG